GTGAGGCTGGATTTGGGGGTGGATGGGCGTTGTGAGATGTGGGGGGGATGTCCCCCCCCACAAGCCAGCACCTGTCGGGGAGAAGCCGTGGGAAGCCAAGCGCTGGAACTCAAACCCGGGTTAGTTCAGTTGCGTCCTCACACACAGCCTGCTGGACCCGGATAGGAATGGGGTTCACACGTGGCGTCGAACCAGAAAGGGTTCCTAATACGGGCTAGATTCGCGCAGCGGGTTTAAACTATCCATCCGAACTAGTCAGGGGTCGTGAGAATGCAGCCGATTTTTTTTTTAAATTTGATTTATATGCCGCCCTTCTCCGGAGACTCAGGGCGGCTTACAATGGGTTAAGCAATAGCCTTCATATTTTGTATATTTATACAAAGTCAGCTTATTGCCCCCACAAACTGGGTCCTCATTTCACCTACCTTAGAAAGGATGGAAGGCTGAGTCAACCTTGAGCCTGGCGAGATTCGAACCTGCAGTAATTGCAGGCAGCTGGTCTTAATAACAGGGTGCTTTAGACCACTGTACTACCAAGGTTCTAGGTAGTAGGATTTGATGGCTTGGGTTAGTTTGGCAAGCAGCCAACTTGGAAGGCGGTCTAACCCAAGGGTCTCCAACCTTGGCAACTTTGAGACTTGTGGACTTTCAACTCCCAGAGTTCTGTTTTAAGTCCACAAGTCTTAAAAGTTGCCAAGGTTGGAGACCCCTGGTCTAACCTGATGACTTTTTTTTTTTAATACAGCACGTGAAGGTAGGAACTGGCCAGACAAGAGTAGATTAATCTCCCGTCTTCTCTTATGTGGACCTGCGCGTGTCCCCTGCGCACGGTCACTCATGCCCTCGTCCCGTCCCGTCTGGACTACTGTAACACTCTCTACATGGGGCTCCCCTTGAAGAGCACTTGGAGGCTCCAACTGGTCCAGAATGCGGCTGCGCGGATGGATATGGGTGCGACTCGGCGCACCCACATAACACCCCTCCTGCGCGAGCTGCACTGGTTCCCAGTGGTCTTCCGGATGCGATTCAAGGTGTTGGTGACCACCTTTAAAGCGCTCCATGGCTTAGGACCGGGGTATATACGAGACCGCCTTCTGCCATCAACAACCTCCCACCGGCCAATACACTCCCACAGAGAGGGGCTCCTCAGGGTGCCCTCGGCCAAACAATGCCGACTGGCGACACCCAGGGGGAGAGCCTTCTCTGTGGGGGCACCAGCCCTCTGGAATGACCTGCCCCTAGAGCTTCGTCTTAGCTCCGACCTGCGTACTTTTCGCTGCGCCCTTAAGACCCTTTTGTTCCAACAGGCTGGACTGGCCTAATATGAATTTTATAATGGGTGTATGTGTGTTTTAATACGCGGGCCAAATTTTATATATTCTTTTTTAAAAAATTTGATTTATATGCCGCCCTTCTCCGGAGACTCAGGGCGGCTTACAATGCGTTAAGCAATAGCCTTCATACTTTTGTATATTTTTACAAAGTCAGCTTATTGCCCCCACAAACTGGGTCCTCATTTCACCTACCTTAGAAAGGATGGAAGGCTGAGTCAAACTTGAGCCTGGTGAGATTTGAACTTACAGTAATTGCAAACAGCTGGTGTTAATCACAATGCTATCAGTCTGCTGAGCCACCAGGCCCATTATTCGATTTTAATTGGTTTTAAATTTTATAAATCTATGTGTTTTAATATGGCTGTACACCGCCCTGAGTCCTTCGGGAGAAGGGCGGTATAGAAATCTAATAAACTTCAAACTTCAAAGCTTGTTGTTGTCCCCCAACTGAATAATTCCAGCTTCAATTTAAATTGTTTACCTACAGAGCATAAAAGTCAACCCATTAAGTTTCACTTTCTTCCACCACCTATTGCAACCCTTACTTTCCAAATTCTTCCTGGATTTCTCTGTTATTATTCACGTAATTAGGCCCACAGGCAGTAGGGAAAAGGAGAAGCCTCCGCTTTCTCTAAGATTGTGTTGAACGCTACACACTAGTAGTAGAGGCAGTTTGTGTCCTGGGGAAAGGCATCCGCTAGAAACTGGGAGGTGATGAGTTTTAGTCCTGCCTTAGGCACAAAGCCAGCTGGGTGACTTTGGGCCAGTCGCTCTGTCTCAGCCCTAAGGAAGGAGGCAATGGCAAGTCACGTCTGAGGAACTTTGCCAGGAAAACTGCCGGGACTTCTCTGGGCATTTGCCAGCGTTCACGATGGACTCAAAAGCCCCCCACAGAAAGCCTCAATGACCCTTGTGGGCAAATGATGTAGATTAGATTAGAATTCTTTATTGGCCAAGTGTGATTGGACACACAAGGAATTTGTCTTTGGTGCATACGCTCTCGGAGTACATAAAAGAAAAGATACATTCGTCAAGAATCATAAGGTACAACACTTAGTGATAGCCATAGGGAAACAGTCAATATAAATCGTAAGGATACCAGCAACAAGGTTACAGTCATACAGTCATAAGTGGAAGGAGACGGGTGATAGGAAGAATGAGAAGATTAATAGTGGTGCAGACTTAGTGAATAGTTTGACAGTGTTGAGGGAATTGTTTGTTTAGCTGAGTGATGGCGTTCGGGAAAAAACTGTTCTTGTGTCTAGTTGTTCTGGTGTGCAGTGCTCTACAGTGTTGTTTTGAGGGTAGGAGTTGAAACAGTTCATGTCCAGGATGTGAGAGGTATGTAGATATTTTCACAGCCCTCTTTTTGACTCGTCCAGTAGACAGGTCCTCAAGGGAAGGCAGGTTGGTAGCAATTGTTTTTTCTGCAGTTTTAATGATCCTCTGAAGTCTGGGTCTGTCTTCAGCTCCTTTAATTGTGTATACAAACAACTTGGGTAGGCAGTGATGGGAAGAATCAAGAAGTTTCAGAGAATATCAGATGGATAATACGGTGCCTGGGATGGACCTCACATATAATAATTACATCTACTAGGGCATGGCTAGTCTAAGAGAAGGACCAGGGGAGACAGGATAGCAGTCTTCCAATATTTGAGGGGCTGCCACAGAAAGAAAGGGGGTCAAGCTATTTTCCAAAGCACCTGAAGGCAGGACAAGGAATCATGGATGGAAACTCATCAAGGAGAGATTCAACCTGGAAATAAGGAGGAATTTTCTGACAGTGAGAACAATCAACCAATGGAACAGAAGTTGCCTTCAGAAGTTGTGGGAGCTTCATCACTGAAAGCTTTCAAGAAGAGACTGGACTGCCATCTGTCAGAAATGGTGTCGGGTCTTCTGCTTGGGCAGGGGGTTGGACTAGATGACCTCCAAGGTCCCTTCCAACTCTGTTACTCCGTTAATTTTTGGAGAGACATGATCCAGCCAGAAGCAGCAGTTTTGTTACATAAAATAAAAAATGGCAGGCAGCCCCCTCTTCCTCTGACAGGCCAAATGAGCTGGGAGGATTGCTGAAGTTCTTAATGCAAATAGACAAACAGAGAAAGAAAGAAAGAAAGAAAGAAAGAAAGAAAGAAAGAAAGAAAGAAAGAAAGAAAGAAAGAAAGAAAGAAAGAGAAAGAAAAAGAGGGAGAGAAAGGAAGGAAGGAAGGAAAGAAAAAGAAAGAAAGAAAGAAAGAAAGAAAGAGAAAGAAAAGAAAGAGGGAGAGAAAGAAAGGAAGGAAGGAAAGAAAAAGAAAGAAAGAAAAAGAAAGAAAAAGAAAGAAAGAAAGAAAGAAAGAAAGAAAGAAAGAAAGAAAGAAAGAAAGAAAGAAAGAAAAGAAAGAGCCTCTCAGTAAGTCAACTTCTCTGGGTGACATAATTCCTGGCTGTTTTCTTCACCGCCCAGCTGCATCTGCCACTTGGAGTATCGTATGGAAGCGCTGACCTAAGGCAAGGGGATGTTTCTCTTGCTTCCACTTTGCACATGTTCAGACGCTAGAATTGGGGTGTGAAGCAGGCAGCACCCTGAATTGTGCCTTGCTTGGTTCTCCGATCACTTGATTCCAGATATTAGGACACTGTTTTTCAACTTTGCCAATTTAAGATGTGTAGACCGGGGAATTCTGGGAATTGAAATCCACAGCTCTTAAAGCAAGCTGGCTGAAGGAATTCTGGGAGTTGAAGTCCACATATTGCAAAGCAGGCTGGCTGGGGATTCTGGGAGGTGTAGTTCTATGCATCTGAAAGCATGCTGGCTGGGGGAATCCTGAGTATTGAAGACCACACAACTTCATCTTGCCAAAGCTTAAGAAATATGGGTAATCCCCGATTTACAATAGCTCTCTTAGTGACCATTTGAAGTGACAGCGGGACAGAAAACAGTGGCTTGTGATCCTTTTTCACACTTACGACCATTGCAGCATCCCCAATGTCACGCGATTGGGACACTTGGCAAGCGATTCTGATAAGCAAAGTCAACGGGGAAGCCAGATTCGCTTAACAACCATGTGACTAACGTAACACCTGCAGAGATTCGCTTAACAACGGTGCCAAGAAAGGTTGTAAAACGGGGTAAAGCTCACTTGACAAATGTCTCGCTTAGCAATGGAAATTTTGGGCTCAATTGTGATCGTAAGTTGAGGACTACCTGTAACACCCTAGGGCTCTGATGGCGAACTTATGGCACGCGTGCCACAGGTGGCACGCAGAGCCATATTGGTGGGCACGTGAGCTGAGCTCCACCAGCTGATTTTCAGGCCTTCTGGGCCCACCAGAAGTCAGGAAACACACTGTTTCTGGCCTCCGGAGGGTCTCTGGTAGGACTGGAAGGCCTGTTTTTTGCTCCAGAGTCTTTCTAGGAGCCTGGGGAGGACGAAAATGGCTTTCCTCACCCTGCTGGAGGCCCTCTGGAGGCTGGAAACGGCCTGTTTCCTGACTTCCCATTCCACCAGAAGTCCGGTGGCCCACCGTGCCATCATGTGCCAAAAGTGGGGGGAGCATGGGGGGGGGTCATGTGCGCATGCTCAGGGGGTGGGGCACATAGAATTATGGGTGTGGGCACGTGTGTGCGCGACCCCCCCATGCTCTCTCCGCTTTTGGCACTTGATGGTGAAAAGGTTAGCC